TGATCTGCATTTCTCTAATGGCTAATGATCGTGAGCATTTCTTCATGTGTCTGTTAGCCAACTGAATATCTTCTTTGGCGAAGTGCCTGGTCATATCCTCTGCTCTTTTTTTAATTGGGTTATTTGTCTTTTTGTTGTTGAGGTTTTGCAGTATCTTGTAGATTTTAGAGATTAGACGCTGATGGGATGTGCTGTAGCCAAAAATTTTTTCCCAGTCATGGACCAAAACTTAATAAAATTCAGTAAAAATGTCACTTGAATATTATGACAGTGTCAAATTGCTACAAAAGTTTCTGAATGTTTACTCTCAATTTCTGAACTTATCTCACTACAGGCACACTTTGAATTGTATTGCTCTATCTCGAGTGCTTTACCCTTTTCCAGACAGGACACATACAGTTCAAATTCGTTTCCTCCCATATGGTACTAACTTTCAGAAGGAACTCTTTCTCTTTTTTTTCCCCCCCTATGGAGTTTACTGACTCCATTTCCAAACTATAAAGTAGTACATATATTTCCTTAAAGACAATTAAATGCCACTATCAGAACTACTACTTCATCTTTTTAAACTAGAATTTTAGAGCTTAAACTATTAATCCAAATATGGCAGATTACTATTCAGCCATAATCTCCACCAGCAGCCCACTGATCCCAACCCCCATCCATGGACAGCGTATACTTCCCCACTCCTGGACTTTGGGATTGATAATGAGATTTCCTTGGCCAATGAAATGTTAGTGGATGTGATGTGATAAAAGGCTTGAAAAGTACTTACAGGAATTGGGCTTGCCCTTTTGCTATCTGCCACTGTGGCTAGCTTACTGTTCTCAAAAAGAGAATGAACAGTGCGGGGAACAGAGTCACCCCAACCTACCACAGTGGCAACCAAAGTGGCCTCAACTGCTGCAATCCAAGGCAGAATTGTCCCAGCTGACCCGCAACTTTTGAGAAATACATGCTTGTTATATACCACTGAGATTCTCAGGTTGGTTGTTACACCACAGTGGTTGACTAATACACCATTCGATTTTTTTGGTGAACTCAAAAGTTTTTATTAACAAATTTCCTTGTAACAGAAAACCTTTACCTGTAGCCAAGGCATTTAATGACTAAAAGGTGCCAATGCATTCTGCTCAGGGAGTAGATTTTCAATGACGTTACTGTGAGGTTGGAAAATGTCGATTAGGTAAATCATATGCACCACCTACATTTGTTTGCCAACTGTGCCCTCCCCAATCAAGGTATTTTTGTAAGTGTGCTATGCTAATTGTTTTTTTTTTTACAGTAACATATTTAAAAAAATCGGCATAGT